CCACAATCTTTACATTTGTAGGGCTTCTCTCCAGTGTGAGTTCTGATGTGGCGAATAAGGACTGATTTTCTACCAAAAGCTTTGCCACATTCTGTACATTTGTAGGGCTTCTCTCCAGTGTGAGTTCTCCTGTGGCAAATAAGGTTTGGTTTTCGACCAAAACCTTTGCCACATTCTTTACATTTGTAGGGCTTCTCTCCAGTGTGAGTATTGCTGTGGTAAATAAGCTGTGATTTTTGACCAAAAGCTTTCCCACAATCATTACATTTGTACGGCTTCTCTCCTGTGTGAGTTCTATTGTGGCAAATAAGGTTTGATTTTCGACCAAAAGCTTTGCCACAATCTTTACATTTGTAGGGCTTCTCTCCAGTGTGAGTTCTTCTGTGGCAAATGAGGACTGATTTTAAAATGAAAGCTTTGCCACATTCTTTACATTTGTAAGGCTTTTCTCCAGTGTGAGTTCTGATGTGGCAAGTAAGGTATGATTTTTTACTGAAAGCTTTGCCACATTTTGTACATTTGTAGGGCTTCTTTCCTGTGTGAGTTCTCCTGTGGTAAATAAGGTGTGATTTTTGACCAAAAGCTTTACCACAATCTTTACATTTGTTGGGCTTCTCTCCAGTGTGAGTTCTAATATGGCAAATAAGGACTGAGTTTTTACCAAAAGTTTTGCCACATTCTGTACATTTGTAGGGCTTCTCTCCAGTGTGAGTTCTGCTGTGGTAAATAAGGTCTGATTTTTGACCAAAAGTTTTGCCACATTCTTTACATTTGTAGGGCTTCTCTCCAGTGTGAGTTCTGTTGTGGCATATAAGGTTTGATTTTCGACCAAAAGCTTTGCCACATTCTTTACATTTGTAGGGCTTCTCTCCAGTGTGAGTTCTGCTGTGGTAAATAAGGTGTGATTTTTCACCAAAAGCTTTGCCACAATCTTTACATTTGTAGGGCTTCTCTCCAGTGTGAGTTCTACTGTGGCAAATTAGGTGTGATTTTTGACCAAAAGCTTTGCCACAATCTTTACATTTGTAGGGCTTCTCTCCAGTGTGAGTTCTGATGTGGCAAATAAGGACTGATTTTCTACCAAAAGTTTTGCCACAATCTTTACATTTGTAGGGCTTCTCTCCTGTGTGAGTTCTCCTATGGCGAATAAGGTTTGATTTTTGACTAAAAGCTTTGCCACAATCTTTACATTTGTAGGGCTTTGCCCCATTGTGGTTTCCTCTGTGGTAAATAAGACCTTTTTTATTACTAAAAGCTTTGCAACATTCTTTATATTTGTAGGGCTTCTCCTCCATATAAATTCTCTGGGGATGAACAAGGCCTGAGTTTTTATATGATTTCTGGTATTCACTCTCACTTGTAGTTTTCCATATTTTCTTTTGTGGGAAATGGTCAAGATCACAACTTGTATATTTTGCACTTATCACTTCATGAAATATATGTTTTAGGCCCTTTTCTGGTGAATATTCTTGGATATGATTAGGAGTCATGGCTGAAATAAACAAAAATAAAAAATTAATACCTATTAGACTGGGATAAACATTTTTCATACATAACATGAAATTAAGGTAAAATAAGTACATCAGGAGTGAAGCAGATTAGTAAGTACAACGTCACCATAAGTCCAAAAAATATATATATTAGTTCAAAAAAAGGAAAGAAAAAATTACTTTGAGAATATTATCCAAATTCTTGTAGAGACCATAGTATCCAAGAGGAGTACATCATTGAGAAGAGTAATACAATGAAGTGTATAAAAGTATAATTAACAGCCTTTTGTCCTTCATAAGATAGTATTATGTATTTGGGAAATATCTACCAGCTACCTTCACTGTCAGTAGAATAAGAGAAATGTAAAACATATACAAACATTTCTTGTGTTTTCAAAGAGTGTCCAAAAATGTTTTTTTGTCTACCAGGACATAGAGACATAAAAATAACTAGTAGATTTTGAGTGATAATACCATAAATATTCAACAAGGGTACAGAGGCAATGGACTCTTAAAAAGAAATATAAACAAAAAATTTCCTAAGAAATATACACATATGTCTATAAAATTTTGCATAAAAACATTTTTAAAAGACTATAAAAACCTTGCATAGCCTATGGCCATAATATTTGGATGAATTCAACACATGACCATCGAGTATAATAAATTGATTTTTATATTTTTATATTCATGTGATATGAGAATCTCCCTTATTGACAAATACAACGTTGTTTATTTATAAATATATCATGGTATTTTATACTATATATACAAGGTAAAATGACTAAATAGAATGAATTAACAAAATCATTATTTTATGTAATTATCAATTTTGTTCCTACAAGGTATTGTATTCCTTCTACTAGTACTTATGAAGAACATAATACACTCACAATATGATAAAATAAAACTCTTGACCCTATTATGCTCAATAAAATAAAAAATACGGAGACTTTGACTATAATATCAACCCTACATAAAACATAGTACCTGGTAAGCAAAATTTTGATGACTAAATTTCTGACTTCCAGATGTGAATCAAATGCTCCTACAACTTAATATCTGTCTGCCACCTTTCACTTAATTCAAAGTCCTGCACATATTTCTTATCACACTTTAAGAGACAAAATATTTTATAACTAAATAATAATAGTATATGAGTACATATTTTTAAACATTTGACATTAATGGGCACACACATTGAGTCCCTAGCTTTAATACTGAAAAAATTTTGGTACTAAACACAAAAGCAGAGGTATCTCTTCAATTTTCTGATTTAATTGTTCATAGATACATATTTAGTACTGGCAATTCTGGATCTTTAAGTCATCCAACTTTTAATGTTTTATGTGTAATGCTTTAGATTACCCCAAAAATTCTATATCACGAACTACAACACAAGTCTTCTTAAAATTGTTTGAGCCATGCTGTTTCTAAATTTCTATGACTATTCTCAAACATGAAGTACTTTTGCATGGCCTCCCAATTAGCAAATATTACAAAAATTCAGCACTGTTCTTGCCTATTTTTATTTATCTACGTCTTTATATTTTTTCCCAAAACTGGACTATATAATCTACTGTTGGCTCTTTTAATAAACAAATAAAAAAATAGTACAGCAAATATAAACAAAGAGAAGCATGGCTAAATCCAAGTTACAAAAAAAAAAAAAAAAATTAAGAATTTAACATTAGGATACTAACGGTTATGAATTACTCAAAGACCACTAAATAACTATTTAAAAAGTTTAGAGACTGAAATTGAAAAATATTAACATCAATGAGCACAATGTTTATGTGAATAATTGTTTACAAAAAAAAAATGAGAGGGGCATTCCTAGTGTGCAAATTTGAAATAAATAAGGGCGAGGCTTATCAAGGAGTGCCAAGTTTTAGACAAGTCTAAGCAACTTGTAAAATACTGTAAAAATTAAAAATCTGTAGGATATATAAAGAGAAGTGGGACATACATATATATATACACACACACACTGTGTTTTGTGTAGGGTTGGTATTATAGTCAGGCACTCTCTCTCTTTCTCTCTCTCTCCATATATATATATGAAGTGTGAAAAGAATCCAAGCATGCCACAATAAAAAAAACTATGATCTAGAAATTAAATCACTAATCAAAATTTAAACATATAAGAAGTATAATGATTTATTCACTTCAAAATATTTATGATTACTGATGCATTATTGGAAAACACAAAACAAAAGAAAAAAAATTACTAACAAAATTTAATCTAAAAAAGAAAATGTCAAGTCAATTCCAGCAGAGAGCATGGAAAGTAACCAAGCATGATCTGCTCGTAGAGGCCCTATTTGTTTAAAAATGGATAATGCTCCTGCCTTTACATCTCATCCTTTTGCACAATTTTTAATAAATGAGATATAGTTTTAAATCATGAAATTTCTCATAATTCTTTTGGATAAGCTTTTGTTGAGTGAGCATATTGTATCCTAATACTTGCCTTTTAAAACAGAAACAAAGATATAGCCTCTCTTATATTAATATGCCTTAAATGTTGTTTTATTTACAGTTAATGTGCTAAATATATAACATAAAGTTAATACTCAAAATTGGTCATCTGCATTAAATAGACATTTTATTCTCAAACAGCCATTACCAATAAACTTATGTAATATATGAGGTTCCACCTGACCAGCATGACAAGATCCTATACCTTTGATCACGTGGGGAAAAGCATAGACTGCTACACTTATGCCAAAATGTCCTGTTTGGACTCTAGCTTCATGCTTGAATAATAGCAATTATAAATGTACATAAGGGACTTCACAAGCTGGTTTCTAAGTTTCATTAAACCCTGGAAGATAAGAGTTCATCCAAACAAGAGAATAATCATTCTCAAAAGAGGAGAAACATTAAAAGAGGACCCCAAGATACTTGAATTCTAGTTACTTGGGGAGATATAAAACCATTAACAGCCTCAGCTCAAAAGGTGTTGGCTAAAATGGAGTTAGAATATACTCTAGATAACTTTGTTACTGCTTTGATTGCTAAGCTCACACAAAACTCTGTAAATGCTTTGGTCTTAATAACAATTTTGCTCTGTTTTGTACACCAACTCTGGGAAATTCAGTCCTGTCAGATCATGGACTTGTAGAACTCATTACAATATCTTGACTCACTTGCATAAAATTGTTATATACCTGCAAAAATGTCTCATGGTATACATTGTTGTCTTAGCAGAATAATGTGTCCTTACCATCCACATAGTATTTAATAGGTAAGCATCCTGTGCAATTTATTCATAAAAGATTTATTCCTCTTGATAAAAACTGTGATGATTCAGTGAAGCGCTCTCTAAGGCAGAATTTAACGCGTTGACATTCTACTTGGTGGGTTTACCTGGACTAGCTCTACTGGCTTATAAAACTAGTATGAAACTCTATATTTATATTAACTGTACCTAATCTTGGTTAGCTAGCACTTGGGGTTAAAGAAACACTGAGTTAGAATGTAGTCATGGTATCAGAAGCTATGTAATTTGGGGGTAATATATGTGCAGACGTTAAGAGGAGTGGCCAGTTCTTTTTCTTTTTTCTTTTACACTGTACGTGTGTATGTCTCTCTCTTCTGTTTGCCCCTTTAAAGGTTTCCTCACAAGAAGATTTGAAACAGATCATGCTGGTCCTCACAACAAAAGGTAAGTTTTGATAGTTAATCTGAATAAAATGGGACATCACTAAAAAAGAAAACAGAGAACAACAGGAATTTGAAAATGTGATAAACATAGGGCAGTATGTGTTCAATGATTAAAATCAAAATAAATAAACCTAAGCTTCTGAAAATTTCTTCTCAAAGATAACTACTCTTTCAACATTTTTTAGTTTCGTTTTGTCTTTCACATTAGAATAACTCAACTGTGTCCCCTGCTATGTGTAGTCTACAATAGTTTACATCACTAAGTTATACTAGGTACTACTTATCTAATGTGAAGGATGTGTAACACACAAAGAAAGAGACAGATTAAGGAGTAAAATTATATATATACACATATATATAATTATATATATAAATTATATATATACATATATATATGAGAGAGAGAAAGAGAGAGAGTAAAATATCTGTACTAAAAATGCCCTTTTTCTTTGAAACATAAATCTGAAACTAATTTTTATAGAGAAGTTCCCAGAAGATACTCTGCAACAGAAGTAAATTAAATAATAATTAGTAATTAATAATTTTAAAGGAAAATTAAACTTACCCAGGAAGGCCAAGTTTCTATAGTTCTCTAGCATCACATCTCTATATAATTTTTTCTGAGCAGGCTGAAGGCACTCCCACTCCTCTTCAGTAAAATCAATGGCTATATCCATAAATGTTAACAGTTCCTAAAATAAAAATAGGTAAATAAATAACACATTGACTACAGGTATATTTGCACAGTGTGTAATGTAAATACAGTTGAAATTAAAGAGTTAGTAGGTAGTGTTTTGTAACACAAAAATACTATTATCTACTTCTGCAGAAAAAGTGATTTAATTTCAAAAAAGTATACATACTCCTCATTTATGAAACACAATATAAAACTCAGGCATTACCACAAAAATATATATTTTGTAATGTTTTATATCTTGATCTAAATTATACATATTTTTCAGAAGAGAAAACCATGGTAATTAAGAAAGGGAAGCCTCAAATTTTAATTGTACAACCGCTAATCAGAGATTTACTAATGTGTAGAATCTTTTTTTGTTATTTCTCTGACTGAGCTGGCAATTCTGAATGTGTAGTGAGATCTCTAGTAATTACAATATCAATGGTGTAAGAGAAATTTTGAAATGTAACAAGGTAGACAGACCACTAAAAGGAAATATTTAATAGTTTATTTAAGTTAAAACATTTTATGGTTTTTATGTATGTTATTAATATAAAAAAGCAAAAACAATAGTGTTTAAATTTTCTTTTTTATAATTTTAACATTTCTTAACATACAAATTTATATATATATATATACACAAACTTTAATCAATGTTTATATTGTATGATATTTATAATAGAATATACATATAGCTCTTCAAACAAATATAATTTGTTTTTTTTTATTCTAAAGGTCCTTCTAGGGCTGGGGATGTGGCTCAGGCGGTAGCGCACTCGCCTGAAATGCATGCGGCCCGGGTTCGATCCTCAGCACCACATACCAACAAAGATGTTGTGTCCGCCGAGAACTAAAATATAAACATTAAAAAAATTCTCTCTCCTTTCTCACTCTCTCTTAAAAAAAAAAAAGTTCTTTCTAATTCTACATGACAGTAAAATCGATTTTATGGTATTATGCAAACATGGGATATATCTTATCCTAATTAAAATTCTGTTCTTTTTGTTGGCTATGATGGTAGGATTCACTTACAGATATATATCTTTTGTATTTCTATGCTTGTCTTATTTTTTATTTATTTAAATATTTCTGTTTACCATTGTGCAATCTACTGATCTTTTTTGCTTTCCCTTCCCCACTTTATGAGCTTTACATTTTACATATCAGCAATAACTTTCAACTTTTGGTTTTATAGAAATTGTTTGTTAAACTTAGCATAAAATCTCCAGATTTCTTGATTTCCTGGCAAATGTCCTAAAGTCATTCTTCTTTATGGCCGATTCATAGTTTAGTGTGTACATAAGCAACAGTTTTTTATCCTGTCATCATTGAATGGACCCATTCATCATTGAATGGTTGGTTTTATAGCTTAGCTATTGTGAATTGTGCTGGTATAAACATTAATGTGGCTGTGTCAATGTAGTATGCTGATTTTATGTCCTTTGGGCATATACAGTGCACTCAGAAAACTGGGAAAAATTGTGGTTCCATTTCTTTAACAATATCCATACAGGTTATTATGTTTCACTTAAACCTCCATACAGCTGGAAAAATTGGAATTCATCTATACCTGAGGTGAAAATAAAACATACAAAAAATTAGTAAGCCATAAAATGACTAGAATTTATTATCAAATCATCCATCCCAATAAAAAGTATAATTTAAAAAAAGTAAAGAAAGTCTTAAGCAAAAGAGCAAAATTAGAAGCTATTAAAAATAAACATAACAAAGAGTTACCAGTATCAGTGTTGGTGCTTTTAAAAAGCAAATGAGCCCCATCTACTAATGGGCAACTGTGGTTCCAGTGACTGAGGAGTATAAGAAAAAAGGATCATAAATTCTAAGACAATATTATATATAGTATTGTCTTATATATATTTTATTGAGCAACTTAGTGAGGCACTTAGCAACTCAGCAATACTCTGTCTCTAAATAAAATATTAAAAAAGGACTGAGGATGTGGCTTTATTGTTAAGCACCCCTGGGTTTAATCTTCAGTACAAATTTTTTAAAAGCAGATACAATTTAAAAAGCACTAGCAAATGTGAAAATTCAACAAATAAAAATTATATCAATTATACAGTATATAATTGCAAATATAGGCATATTTAATGATTGTTCACTTGATGGAAATACACCCTGGAAAATTTATCCTAAGAATCCTCTGCAATTTTCCAATTCTCTGAGTGCAATGACAAAATCTAGATGGTATAAACTAATACATGGATAAGATGTTTGCTAGATACATGGTTGTACATAAAATCTACTGCTGACCAAAATACCCATGATTCCACATGATTGATGTTATGAAGTAAAATCAATCAGAGTAAACCTCATAATAAAATAAATGGTGGAACTACAGAAAACACCACCAACAAAACCCTTAAAACATGCTAGGATATTGCGAAAAGAGTGTGATAATAAAAATGCTATTTTATTCCTTCACTCATAAAACATAACAGTATATTTTGACACATTAAATGCTGAATATAAGTTATTAATAAATAATACTGAAATATATAAGAAAGTACAAATCCCAAAAGTTTACATACAAAAGATAGGGTTCATATGGTGGTGCACACCTGAAATATCTACTATTCTGGAGTCTAAGGCATGAAGTTCAAAATTTAAGGCCAACTGAAGAAACTGAGCAAACCCCATCTGGAAATAAAGTTTAAAACACAGCCGAGAATATGCTCAGCATTAAGACACTTTGGTTGAATCCCTAATACCACAATAGAAAACAAATAGTTTCTTTGTCTTAAAAATTATACAATATGATAGACTTAAACTTATGAATTACAAAATATTAATACAAAAAAATCTATTCATCAAATGATTACATTAAAAGCTGCAAAACTGACAAGGTAAAAAACCCTAATTTCCTCACATATAATCAAACACTTATAAGAAGAAGAAATACAACAGAATGCAAAAGAAAACCAGAAAATTCTTGAAGAGTCACTTTAAAAAGGATATATCTAAGTGTTCAATAATCATAAAACTAAAAATTTTTAGAAATTTAGGTAACACTGAAAAAAATCACATCATATAGATGAATTAAACAGTATTGATGAATATGTGGAATAAATGCATTCACAAAAAATGAAAATAATAATTTAAGCTTTTATTATCCATTTGTAGAAACTGTTTTGTATATGTATATGATACACCCATACAGGAAACAGAGACTAAAATTACAGCAAATGTACATGAAAATACAGTCACATTCTTCCAGAGTTGAAACCACAGGGCATGGCTAAAGAGGAAAAAGTAATTATTAAATTTTGTAAAATGTAAATTCTAGGAGCTAGAATTTGTTTATATATTATATCCAGTTTGACAAATACTATAAAATACCATGTATGTTTTATGCTGATGTCACATGAATGTTGCATTTCATATGCAAGTATGTTTAAAAAGGGAATATGCAGTATTTGAGAAAATAAAAATACAGAAAAGAACATAAAAGACTCAAGTATTCAACATATTTACAAAGGATAATACTATTATAAAAATGATCATTTTTCCCAAGGTACCATTTAATAATAACTGGTCATAATTTTACCATTCTTTACTTTTTGTTAAAAAATAAATTAAAGCAAAAACTTCTAAAATTTTCCTGGAAAGATGAATGTATTACTCTCTTATTTATAAGAGCAAATGTACTAGTGATCATTACCTGACACTAATGCAGGTTATAATATTACAACAATGTAGTAATTTTAAGATAAAGAAATCACAATAGATAAAACTACATAGGGCAGTTCATATGTATGCAAATATCCCTTTATTGTTAATAATTATAAGTACATAAATCAAAACATATCAATAAAATATTTAAATGAATGAATGCTACAAACCAACCTCAAGGTAGATGTTAGAATAAAAGGCATAGATTACAAAACCGACTTGTGTGCAGAATGTGTGTGACACTGGAATTATACACAAGCATCCACCAAACAGCAGATATAAAGAGAGATAATTTTAAAAAATAAAATAAAAATAAATAAAAGCAGAATATAAGCCTCCCTTCATTTATGGATACACCAAATAAATATATACTCCTGTTTTGAGTCCTTCTAAAAACTGTAAAGGAATTAGAAGCACACAAATTGGAAAACTGAATTAAAAAAAAATATATCGAACAAGAGATAAGTAGAATGCACTTGAAGATTTTTCTGATTTGAGCAATATGCAAAATTACTAGAACAAAATCCCCAAATCTAGTGTTAATATAAATAAAGGAAGATTGATTTGGATTTGAAATATATTATTTAACTCTAAATTGCCTGTAGTTCAAATGCTAATTTATCTGTATACACAGAGGAAGATTAAGATATAAATGAGTATTTACTCCAGGGCAGAAAAAAATAAGTGGTTTTCTAAGGCCATTCAAGATCCATGGGCTTTATCCCATTTGACCACAGTGAAAGAGGTGTTAAATCTTAAGGTAACCCCTTAATCCCTTAGAGGGATTTGCCAACATTCTCTAAAAATGCAAATAGCTGTTGCTGACAGTTGAACTTTTATCTAGACAGTACCAAAAAATTAACAGGGAAATATAGGCCACCACTGAAAGCCAAAGTGGCAATTTAGCACTTCCTGAGCTCTCTCACCCAGCTCACTTTACTAATAACACCAGACCTAACCAATTCTTTCTGTAAGTAATTTGTCCTGATATTAATTTTTCCATTCAATGGACTACATCTGAAACCTGAAAGCATTGAAAGCACTGGTAACTGTGCAGGTGCAAATCTCCCTAGAACAAAAAGGAGTGTTTTCATATTGGTGTGCAAACATTTTAATAGGCTAAAATCTCAAATATTAGTGAAGAAAAATGGTTACAATCACAGATCCCTTTTTATTTCTAAAGTAGATGCACATCAATTTTTTTTCCAGTGAGCATAATGCACACTGGAATCTAAAAAGCTTGCATCAGAATTTTAGTGGACCATCCAACTATAAGATCTGCATGAACACAGCTGTTAGAATGGCTACTCTCAAAAAGTG